CTTTACACTTTGCTCTTCTGTCCACATTCCGGGCTTCTGTTAGCCATAAATCTCGAGCATCTTATGGGATCTTATAGGAATGCTTGTCTAGTTCTTGCAGGACAATTCCCACGTGGTCGTGCTTGAAACTCACAACTCTCAAGCCATCTTCCTCTTGCTCTGCTGTAGTATGATCGACTCTTCTCTTCACAATTTTCTAAAGTCTGGCGATGCTGGGGTATGGGACGGTGCAGCAAGCGCGACAACCACTGCTCCACTCTTCTATGGACTGCAGATCGGGGAACCGTCATATGTAACAAGCTTATCGAGAGTTATGTGTGGGAAGTACTGATAAATGCAAATCGTTAAAAAAATCAGCAAACGCAGATAGAAATGGCGGGCATAATTTGTTGTTATGGAACACCGTGTATTACATCAACATTCTTTATGTGTGAGAGACAGACCGGCTGTTACTGTCCTTTGCGCGCGTGCTCTCAAAGGCATATTCCACGATTTCTAGATGTTGATGTTGTAGTGAACTAAGCTCGCGTTAGGCGCAGCTAGGAGATTATGATATGAATTTTTTATCATTTGAAAGATTCCTTTTCCACATTTTTATCTCTTTGTAGAACCTTTTGCGCAACGTTACGAGCTTGAGTCCTTATCGTTCATCCCATATGCATAACACAGCAAATCAAATCTTTAGATGCCGCAGTTTACGTCTGTTGTCACTAAAATTAGATGTGTGCCACTCGAAAACGAAAGTTCATGCGCAGCAGTTGCAGCGAAATAGAAAAAGAAGAACATTGACTTGATCGTTCCCTGTTCAAGAGCCAGCTGTGTTTATTCTTTGTCAGTACATTGAATTCTCATTTGTATTTGTGACTAGGGTTTTAACAAGTTCAAATTTTACAACACGAAGAAAAACAGCGATAATGGGAACATCCTATTAGATAAATATCGCATCGCTTCCTTGCCACTTGTTTATTGGGGATGCCCTTCACCGGCGCTTGGTTCTTTTTATTTCGGGCAATCACTTTGTAGAAGGCACTGACCAGTAGGTGCTCTGACGTGTCCATTTAAACAAACGCAAGCCGGCCTAAAATGAATGTTTTTTTATAAAAAATACGCTGCTTTTCTATTTAGCATTTTCTGAATCCTCGGACCTCTCTCACAAAAAATTTTCGAAGTGGAACGATACTGAACAGACATATCCGTAAGGTCTGGAAAACCTGCCAAACTGAAGAATATTTGGCCTTTCTGTGAGCCATGTGGTTTTTAAGTATGCTAATGTATGACCTATAGAATGAGTACAAAGACCTTAGGAATAAGTCGCACAAGCGCAAGAAAAAGGGATGACTTGGGTGGGACGCGTTACCGCGTCACAATGTCCCACGAGGTGCGCAAAGTGGGACGCGTTACCGCGTCACGCTGTCGCCAACGTGTTGATACAAAAAACGTACTTGCACTCAGCAGAGCAAGCCTGCGCTATCGGTGCTGCGGCCGGACGACACGCCTTTTCAGGACCACATGGTTGACATCCCGACGTTTCGTTCTTCTTGCACTCTGAAACCTAATTTTATCAGACAATACTTATTCGAACGACGAACAAGGCTGAAGCAGTTCAACACTCGCTCGTCAGCTGACAGTACTATCGATTTCCCGGCAGGTGATGGCGAATGGTGAAAAAGATACATTATCACAGCCATCTGTTACCATATGATTAGACGGGCCAGAGATTTGACGTGGCGGCAGCCGCACTCGAGAAGGTCGTCGTGTGAAAAAGCCGCTTCCAGTATGTTTTGCTGATTTTCAGCGTCCATGGGTCTTCCATCAGGTGTGACGGCAGCCACGTCAATTCCTAGACCGGCCTAGTCGGACAGTGAGAGACCGTACAATGATCAAGGACACGATACTCACCGTCAAGCTTCAATTGATTTTCGCGAGTTACGCAATGTGATAATTTGTTTTGTTTTTTTTTTTTTCTCGTTATAAAGCTTAATCAAGTTTGAGAAATCATCATAAGTTGTCACGAGTTGGTTGAGAAAAATAGGCTTCCCTGCATGATCAGGAACATTTTTCACGTTCAACGATATTTCCATTTCTCACGAAACCATATTTCTAGCGCACTCAAAGTGAGTTGGATGTGTGTATAAACACTTCAGAGGATAAGCTGGTCGAGCAGCTTAAATAGCTTTTCCAAATTCCCTTCCTCTGAGCACACTCAGGGTGATTGACCGTAATCGGCTCTATTATATCTAGAAAACTTTCATCAGAGCAGTCGCTACATACCATGTTATGTTTGTCAATTGATCAAGTAAACTACACTTGTAAAGCTTTTTAGAAATTCGTTCCGCTGAGCCCGCGTAGAGACGCTTACCTCAAAGGCCGCATTACTCCTTGAAAAGATCGGGGTTTCAATAATAATAGCCTTTGGAACAACATTTGACATCCCTTGCAACCCATTTTTCGAGAGGAGGCTCTACTGCCTTTATGACGCTTTTGAACTGGAACCTTATTGATAAGATAGCTTGCAGATATTTTGAAGCTTGCTAGGCACCGACCGAGTTACAGCAAGTGCAGAACCATTTTCGGCAAGACCTCGTGGCTAATAATTCATTTCAAGGTCGTGCAAAAAGATACAATGGATATCTTCATATCTTCTTTCGCGCTGCAGTACAAAGCTATTACCCTCAACAATACTATTTATGATGGTATGCTAATAAAATTCAATGCTATTTATTCACAGACACTCCAAACATTTTACAAGCTGCAAAAGAAGTGGCCCTTTGAGCGCATTAATGGATCTAGACAATTGCTGCTAATCTAGTGAAACGATAAATAGACCCATGTGGAAGTTTTGCTGAAGAGAAACGTGGCTTTGAAAAGACGCTATAAAGGCGTTGACCGCACGCAATAAGGATTACAGCGTAGCCGGTGGGATAGCCCATAGATCCATTAGATATGATACACGCGTCAAACTGATGCGGCTGTGTTCATTTAGACTCGCCTGGGCACGTACTTTTTCTCATCTACATATGAAGGGCAGGGGTCCCTGTTAAGGCCATCTCCGGCGGTTCCCTTTCTTATTTTTTCTTTTCAGTCTACTTGGTCTCCATACTTTCACAATCGACGATTCTTACCCACCGATTCGATCGCGGTTGTTACTTTAAATCTTTTACACTCCATAAAACTGGCTTGAAGGAGATGGCGACATACCGAGTGAATGACTAGTACTTCCTGAAGCCAGTGGTGGCGCAACTGGCTTTGCTCCCTCCTTTTCCTTACTGCCAGAGCTCTCAGATGACTCATTCGCCAGCACACAAGCTGCGACAAATGAATATAGTGACGAATACAACTCGCTTCATCTGGAAAAGGTTTTATAATGTATCTAAGGTCTCTCAAGTATTTCGCGTATATTGAGGCATTTAGCGGGTGCATAGATGAAAAATTTGTGCGTAACAGTGAGGAAGGTGACACTTCATAAAGTGACCGAGGAACATTTTCAATAGTGAGCGTCTCGGGCATAAAACTTCATTTTTAATAGATATCGTTGTGAGAAGAGCTGTTCGGCGGAAGTCACCTTGCGAAAGGTTTGTTGAACCACCATGAATGTAACAGCAGGATGGGCACAAAGGAGGCAGTGTCGCCCTGGCAAACCTCCCTAGCATTGGATCGTCAGAGCAGTGGCACGCAATGTAAACACTTTCTGAGCATTTATATATGGAGCGTGTTTTCACAGTCGACAGATTAGGGATCGCAGAGATTCCGTGACCGATGATAACCAGAGGCCTACCATTATCCAACTGAGTGCGATCGCGTAAACACTAATCCAAACCCTCATCTACTTATGAATCCGTCATGCATCACATGGGATTACTTTACGATTAGCACAATTTTTCCCTCGGTTTCGTATCGCCACCCTCAAAATTCTGTTGACGCATGTCCAAGCGGTACAGAAAAGGCAGGAGCATTAATGCGCTTCGTGTGGTAAAGGCTAAAATGGTACAGTAACGAGGATTGGGGTAGAGATCTGTTTCTGGAGTCAGGTCTGTCCCAAATATCCGATCGAGACTCCATCAGATCAGCCTTTAGGGCTTTTTCCCGAGA